GATAAGAGCAGACACCACTAGCACTTGGGGAGAGGCTCCATCTATTGGTGGGGAGCATCACCTGCTCACTGTTCCTTTTGTGTCCATGTTGCGAGTCATGCTAGCCAAGTCTTACGTGAAAGTCATCATGAGTCGTTCGCGGTCGTTGCCATTCATCCTTGGAGGGTAGCGGTTTGGAGCACACTTCATGCCGCCGGATATAACTACGATCTTCACCCGAGTAGAACACCCTGTCATTATTACTGTATTAGCCTGCAGTTGCCCCATATACAGCCATAATGACAGGCAGTTCTGTTCATGTGAAGACTTTAATATCTACTTAATATCTACTTGGTATTTATATAGACACAGTACTACACACATATCATCACATGCACTTTCTGAAAACTTTCTCAGCTGAAGCCGGGTCATGGCTTTGGTATCCGCAATATGTATACTCCAGACAGGCTGTTGTTTTGAGGACCCATTTCAAGGGAGCTGACTGAACAACTTGCGGTTTAAGTCCCGGGTAGACTGACAGTTTTCCATCTGGGACTTGAAACCGCCAGTACGCGGCCACGGCCCCAGCCTTGTAGAAATTTGTTCGTCGCCTACTCTGTGAATTTCGCGGCTCGGGCCTACTGGGCCAGCCATTGGCTGGCGGCTGGCGGCTGGCGGCACCAGCCAAAAACGAAAAACGTGTGCCGCTGGCGGTTCAGAAAACCTTGGGGTGCAGTGCAGCGCCTCCAGGCCCAGGTGTACTGGCGATTTGATGCCGTAACTACTGTCTTCACCCGAATAGAATGGCCGGTCATTATAGCTGCATCTGGACTGAAAATGGCACCACAAATACGGCTATAATGACCAGGCGTTCTATTCGGATGAAGACAGTACTGCATGGTGCTATGTTTGTGCTAAGTTAGCGCCAATGTTGCTGCTGTACGTGCTATGTTTGTGCTACGCCTTTAGGTTTCTCTTCCCTGCCACTACCATCTTCACCTGAATAAAATGCTCCGTCATTATTGCTGCATCTGGTCTGAAACTTGCCCCAAATACAGATATAATGCTGGGCATCCTAGTCGGGTGAAGACGACAGATTTAGGTGGTCACTGCTAACTGTCATGTGATACTGAAAGGTCACAAGTGCGTTTCGATCTGTAGGAATCCCACACATGTCCCAAACCTTTGAGGAGAGTTGGTCTCAAGCCACAGGTGCAATTCCGTCGTTTTGGAAAAGGCGTTCTCTCCCTGGATGAGCATATGCAGAGAGTGTATATCATTTCAGAAAAAAAAAAAGAAAAGAATTTGGCCATTCCCCCAGGATGAGCATATGCAATTGGTACTTTGGTACCACCCCTGGCCTGAACAGTTAAATCCCACTGCCGCACATTTTGGTCCCACTCAGTGTCTCCTGCAGAGTTCTGTTCACCGCCCTGCATTTTTTTTTTTTTTTTAAAGGCCCTTTGTGCAAGACCTCTATCCTGGTGGTGGTAAGAGAACCACCGGGATTGAGGCTTTGCCTAGCGGGCCGCTCCATCTATTGGTGGGGAGCGACACCTGCTGGAAACCGGGTCCAGCGTCCCATAAATACATCTTGCTGCACAGTACCATAATGAGAGTGACGCCAAAGTGCTGGAAACCGGGTCCAGCGTCCCATATCCACTCTACTCTTCCATACCTAGCCTGCAGCAGGGTCGGGTGTTGGGGGGGGGGACCACCGGGGGGCACCAGTGGAGTCTCCCTCCATCCCCTAGCCTCTGCCATCCACCAGCTATCCTCATGACGCCCGTTGTACTTTGCAATAGCATGCGTTTGAACTGTCACACATTTTTCTCCCCGCCAATTGCTTCCATTCCGGTCACACGGGCCTGCAATTTGGCCTCGCTGCCTTGCCGACAAGGGGGTGCAATTTTTCCTGATCCGATATGCCCCCTTGCCGACAATGCTCATCACTTCCCCCTGCATTTCGGTCACCATGCCCTTCGTTTTGGCTCACCACTGTGCGTTTTGGTCCGAATTGTCTTCATTTTGATCCCAGCTGCCCACAATTTCGTTCCACTCTCCCCTTCTTGGTTCCCGTGCATGCTGGTTGTTGGTCCTAATGTTAGTCCCAATGTTGGTCGCATCATTGGTCCCGATGTTGGTCCCATCATAGGTCCCAATGTTGATCTCACTGCTGTGCATGTTGGTCCCATTTCTACCACTTCTTGGTCCCCGTGCACGCTAGTTGTTGGTCCTAATGTTAGTCCCAATGTTAGTCCAAATGCTTCTTCTTTTTTTTTATTTTTAAACCGGGCCTATTTCCCAAGGCTGATATTACCAATAAGAAGATTGAGGCCGGGGTCCTCACAGTCTGCCCGGAGTAACCGAACCGAACTTGCTGAGAACCGGGCTCAGCGTCCCTCATACGGTGATGATAATGATCATGATGATGATAATGATACTACCGATGATGATGCTAAGGAGACTATGCTATATCATCAATTCTGACCTCCTAATCCTAGAACAACTCCTAGCCCTCCCTGTACCAGGACATTGCAACTCAGAGACAGTACCAACCTAACCAACGTCTACCATGGCTGTTCTCTTCTCGCTCCCTTGCAGCCCCCCCTGGTTCACCACTGGATTGCCTTCCTCCCTCGGCAAACCCCAGATCTCTCTACAAGGCCTCACACTCCTACCATTTGCAGGTTACAGGGCAACGCCCCAGCTCCGGCCAGCGTCGTTTTGGTGTCGGCAAACCAGGGGCACAGAACAGAGCAACTCTGTAGACAGCAGTCCAGGTTCGACCATCTCTGAATTCCTATATCCCGAACGTGGAAGAAGTCTAGATGCTGCCAAAAATTTCAGAACACCAGAAAGCTTAATATAACATGATTGAGATGATGATACTAATGATGATGATGATGATGATGATGATGATTAGTATGTAAAAAAACAGCACTTCTGACCTCCTAATCCTAGAACACCTCCTAGCCCTCCCTGTACCAAGACATTACATCTCAGAGACAATACCCTCCTTACCAATGTCAACCGTAGCTGACCTGTTCTCGCCACCTAGACTATCCCTGACCCCATAGGCTGTCAAGGCAGCCCCCCCCGTTCGCCACTGGATTGCCTTCCTCCCTCAGCAAATCCCCAGATCTCTCTACAAGGCCTCACACTCCTGCCAATTGCAGATTACAGGGCAACGCCCCAGGTCCGGCCAGCATCGTTCTGGCATCGGCAAGCCAGGGGCACAGAACAAGGCAACTCTGTAGATATCGACCCAGATTCGACCATCTCTGAGATCCTATATCCCGAATAAGGAAGGAAGCCGGATGCCGCCAAGGATTACAGAGCACCAGAAAGCATGATATAACCTGGATGATGATAATGATGATGATGATGATGATTATAATGAGAAGATTAAAAAAAAACCCTTCTCCCTCCATTCCCCTGTCTATCCCCTTACCTTACTTAGTCTGCCCCCGCTGGGATTTAATGCCCAGCCCCAGACTAGAGTATTCCTCACAATCTGCCCGTGCCCCCTCCAGGGTTTCACCCCCCTCCTAATGAAACCCCTGCAGAGCAGGGCTCTCCCCACCAAATTGTCATTCGCTTGGATTTTGTAGGATTTTGTTAATGACGATGGACAGCACCCTGAAGATAATGATAATGAGGATGATGGTGATGACCCACTCACCTGCTGATGCGAAAGGCAAACAATGCCTTGAAGAGCAACATCTAATGATAACAAACTGATGATGATGACAATAATGATGAGTGTGAAGACGGAATGATGATGCTGATCATACCAAAGAGCAGCACCAACAACCCTTATGATTACAAACTGATGATGATGAAGATGATGATGATAATGATGATGGTGATGTCGGTAATGATGATGATGATGATGATGATGATGACGCACCAATGATGATGCTCATAATGATGATGATGATGATGATGGTGATGTCAGTAATGATGATGATGATGATGATGATGATGATGATGATGATGATGATGATGCACAGCGCCCTATGACTACAAGATGATGATGGTGTGATGACGAGCACCTTGGATGATAACCTAATGATGCTGCTGCTGCTGCTGCTGATGCTGATAATGATGATGATGATATGGATGAGCAATGCCCTATGATGACGTCAAGCTTTGCCAACCGTGCCGTATGATGGAGAGATATTGACGATGGTGATACAACGATGAGTGACGAGCAGCACCCCTGATGCACGGCTCCTTGATAATAATGATGATATTAGCGCCGAACAGGCGTGAAGACGTACGCCTTGATGATGATGACGAGCAGTACTCTGATGCTGATGATGGTGATGATGAGCAGCGCCCTGATGATAATGACAAACCATTAATGTGATGATGATGTCAAACCATGCCCTGTTGATGATGATGGTGACGAGCAGCACCCTAATGATGATGACGCCGATGATGGTGAAACTGAAAACCAACCAAAGCCAACGAAGTCGAGGAGAACATCCCACTTCATGAAGCACAGTAGCAACACTCTGAAGCTGCCTTCACTTGAAGATTCGTGCCACTATTACAGCAGCACCAACCCCTCTTCTCTACCCGCGCCAGCCTGCGGCGCCAGGAGATCCGCACAAAACAGGACGAAGAAGACACTTGCCTCCCCCTCCACTGTCAACCAGGAACCCGTGATCTTCGTGCTGACATGGCAGCATCCGTACACACGCGCATCCTTATGGCAGCTTCCAGCATCGTCGCCCGCTTGATAGCGCCCGCTCGTCGCACTAACATGGCACTAGTGCACGCGCGTCGGCGCACGTGGTGTACACTAGCGCACGAGCTCACGCTCGCGGCAGTGCACGTGGCAAACGCCAGCGCACGTGTACGTGTGCGTGGCAGCGCGACGGCGCCCTGGCACCCAGGCAACCGGCGCCATTGTGAATGCTAACCCTCAGCCCATGTTAGTCCAAATGCTGGTTCCACCCCTCTGCGTGTTCGTCCCATCGTGGGTCGCATCATTGGTCCCGATGTTGGTCCCATCATAGGTCCCAATGTTGATCCCATCATAGGTCCCAATGTTGATCCCACGGCCGTGCATGTTGGTCCCATTTCTACCACTTCTTGGTTCCCGTGCACGCTGGTTGTTGGTCCTAATGTTAGTCCTAATGTTGGTCGCAATGTTAGTCCAAATGATGGTTCCACCCCTCTGCGTGTTCGTCCCATCGTGGGTCGCATCATTGGTCCCGATGTTTGTCCCATCATAGGTCCCAATGTTGACCCCATCATAGGTCCCAATGTTGATCCCACGGCCGTGCATGTTGGTCGCATTTCTACCACTTCTTGGTTCCCGTGCACGCTGGTTGTTGGTTCTAATGTTAGTCCCAATGTTGGTCGCAATGTTAGTCCAAATGATGGTTCCACCCCTCTGCGTGTTCGTCCCATCGTGGGTCGCATCATTGGTCCCGATGTTGGTCCCAATGTTGGTCCCATCATAGGTGATCCCACTGCCGTGCATGTTGGTCCCATTTCTACCACTTTGGTTTCACCTCCCGAAAAAAGTGCGACAGCCATAAGGAACAAGTTTTCAAAATCGTCACCATTGACCATTGAAAGTTGAAACACATGCTCCCAGAAGAGCTGGCTTTTATTTATTTATTTATTTTAAAATTTACATGCCATTTCATTTATTTATTTTAAAATTTAAATGTCATTTCATTTATTTATTTAATGTTTTGATCGGAGGCTGTTTCCACAGAGAACATATATACACGGCAAGCAATGGTGATTTTTAGGAATTATTTTTTGAGTATAATTGAGAAAAAAAGAAGAACAGACATGTTTGAAAGATTCCAGGGTCTCTCTTTTTTTTTTTTTTTTTGTAAAGAAAGATTCCAGGGTCAAAATTTCTGTACAATTTTCTTATGGGACGCTGGCCCCAATAACAAAAAAAAAAAAAAAAAAAAAAAAAAAAAAAAGGGTCCATGGGATCATTGGGATGCTATGGAAACTCAGGCACGCCGCTGTCGAGAAAAAGAAAAAGGATGGTATTGGCAGAGCGGCACCCTTACTGGCTTCTGCGGCAATCCGAAAAACTCTGCCTGACATCTGACACGCTTCTGACTAAAAATCTCCGCCTGCATCGAATCTGGTTGCTTCTACAGCAGCTGCACCCTGAGAGTGCCTACATTATGTTCGGCACGCTGCATGTCATCTGACATCCAACAGACTCTGCGGCAGCAGACGCCCGATAGACCCTGCAGAACGGTCTGTCATCTGACATCTGACAGAATCTCCAGCAGCAGCCTGATATGTCTGTCATCTGAGATCTGACAGACTCTGCAGCAACAGCGTGCTGTGCAATCGCCACTGCATATCTTCTGACATCTGATGGACTCTGAAACAGCAGCAGCGTGCCACTGGGTAGACCCTGCATGATGTTCAGCACACTGTCTGTCACCTGACAAGCCCTGTTGCACATAGTTTGTCAGATTCACAAAACCAGAAAATTTTCTTTTTTCTGACGCAAGGCGAGGCCTGCAGGGTCAATCTGCAGCATAGCAGTCTGACAGCCTCGGGCCTGTCATCTGCTAAACCTCGCGTGAAAAGATGTAACACCCCTTCTCTGATATCTGACAGACTCACCTGACAGCTGACAAACTCCTCCGACACATTTAAGCACCTCGGACAGATGATCTCTGACATCCGACAGACTCCCTGATTTCGGACACATTCAGAGTTACAGATGCTTACTGTCTTGCCCCGAACATAACGCACCCTGAAAATGAATGTATACAAGCTACATTTCCGGTCAGGTACAGCCAAAATGAGGGTGCGCACCCTGTGTTCGGGGAAGACGGTAGTCTGACATCTGACATGTTCAATCTGACAGACTCATCTGACATCTCTCAAACTTGCCTGACACATTACAAATCTCCAGCAGACAATTACTGACATCTGACAGTCTGCCAACCAGAGTACACTTACCGTCTGTATTTGGTGCAGCTTCCAGTCCAGATACGGCCATAATTACCGGGCGTTCTATTCGGGCGAAGACGGTACTTGTTAGACTGATGCTCTCTCTGACAGACTGTCCGGTCTGACATTCGGTTGCCACAGAGTCTGTCAGAGAAGGCAGAGATTGTCAGATGTCAGAGAAGAGCCTGTGCGTCCTCCGCTTCTGCTTTCACAGTCATCACTGACGATAGTTCTCGCCGCCGACGACGATAATTGTCGCTGATGACGATAACCATTGCTGACAATCATGAGGTCTGACAATCTGTCTGACATCTGACGTATGACAGCGTGCCGGCGAACTAATGCCATAGTTGCTGTTTGGACTTTTCTGACTGAATGTTTTATAATAGCTGCAGGTCTGCGGCCGCAGTCAAGTGCAGCCAGGAAAGTGCAACCACCAGCCTGCCCGAAGACGGACATGGTGTGGCCGAAAGCCTCTGACATGGACGATAAGCCTGGTGCTCTCTTACATACACAGCCTGCAGCCTGACCTAACTCTCTGCAGCCAACAGACAGACCCCTGCAAATTGCAGAATACGTCAGACAGACCCCTGCGACCGACTGTAGATCAGACACAGACAAAGATTGCAGGGTATGCCAGCCTGCTACTCTCTGACACACACAGCCTGCAGACTGACCTAACTCTGAGCAGCCAACAGACAGACCCCTGCAAATTGCAGAGCACGACGCAGAGCCCCGTTCAAGGACAATCTGACGGCCCGGCAGCTTTCTTCTTCGCAATCTCTTCTGCCGCATGCTTGATGAGCTCCAGATCCTCCGGTTTCTTTAATACGCCTTTTGGGAGGTACCCTTGCAACTCTGCTGCGTACTCGGTGAGAAGTCGCTGACGCTCTTCTTCGATAAGTGCCTCCAGTTTTGCATCTTCAGCCTTCTTCCGCGCCATCGTGTCCAGCTCAGCTTGTCTCTGCTCAGAAGAATAATGGTCAGAAGAAAAACAACAGGACAAGAAAAAGTTAAAAAAAGAAAAAAGAAAAAAGAAAAAGCATATTTCACAATTTTTTTTTTTTTTTAATAAAATAAACATTCCAAAAGTTAAAAACTTTTTAGTCCTTTGCAAATGGTAATGTGCGTCAGGGTATAGCAGTTGTTTCCCGGCCATGGATTAAAAGCGAGGGATTGCAGCACTGCCCTCGTCGTGCCCCCCCTGAGAAGCGCCTTAAAAATCCCTACCAGCCAAAAGTTATGCAAGCCCTGGTAGGGATTGCAGCACTGTCCCCCTGGCCCCCCTGAGGAGCGACTTGTGCGGGGAGGGGGGGGGTATTAGGCTGATCTTGATTCGTCTGTGTCCTCTGTTCTTTCATTTGAAACTTGCTTGCCGGTGATGAGCAACCCGACTGCTGCCCCCCAGAATAGATAGGGCTTATAAAAGAAAAAGAAAAAAGGTTGGAATTTGGACTCCAAAAAAAGAAAAAAGGGTTAAAAACTAATAAAAAGTCCAGTAGTCAGCAACGGTAGTATGGATTCCATACGTCTGGGCCCAAGCCCTCCTAGCTCAGCTGGTACACCCATAAACTGTTGAAACACCCAAGTTGGAATCCAATCCAGACGCAACCAGAAGACCAAAAAAAAATCATTCTAGTAGGGGGATACTAGGGATAGCACCTGGGGGCAATCGACTCAATGGTGATATCTCAAGGTCGTCGCTCTTCAAGGGAACAAAAAAAAGGAAGACCGAAAAAGGCAAAAAGTCAAAAACACTCCTTAATTAAAAAGTAAAAATGTCAGGCCAAGCGGCCTAGCTGAGTTGGTAGAGCACGGAAGCAGCATTCAGGAAACCCACCGTCCCCAATTGAGCCCCCACACCTCCTGAGGTGCGCGCTACATGCTCACCAGCTGAGATAGTCAGCTTGTCCCTCCTGGTTGGTTGGTGGGGACCGCCACCCGTTGCCAGGGGTTAGGTTCAGCCCTAGGGGGATAGGCTCAGCCCTGAGGGGATAGGCTCAACCCTGAGGGGATAGGCTCAACCCGGAGGGGATAGGCTCAACCCATAACCCTTAGTGTAGCTTGCTGTTGGAGGGTAGGTAGTGGGCGGTATATTGTGAGAAGAATATAGCTTAATTTGTTTCAAAAAAAAAAAAAAAAAAAAAAATCTGAAAAAAAAAAAAAATCTGAAAAAAGAAGTCCAAAAAGTCGGCTTGTACTTTGGTGATAATGGAGAATCAATGTGCTGGAAACTCTGAGGTAGTGTAGTGGGCCTGGGGGAAATCATAAATAAATAGGAGCATAGTGTATGCTATATACTATATAGGCTGTTTTTGTTTGCACTGTGACTTCTGCTTTCAGGTGTGATGCAGTTGGTAGGCCCTCTGACTCTGGCCGGGCCGGTGATGCCTAGTCCAGGGGGTCCTGACTGCCTTTTTGTGAGGAAAAAAACCAAAAAAAAAGGGGGTCCTGTTTTGTCGGCACTGTGAGTTCTGCTTTCAGATGTGATGCACTTGGTGGGCCCTCTGACCAATTTGTGAGAAAAAAAAGGGGATCCTGCTTTCAGGTGCGTATTAAAGGGATTGCCATCAGAGTACGAGCATCATGACATCTTTCGATGTCTCGCTTAAAAGCATTGGTTGGTCCTGCTTTCAGGTGCGACTTCGGCTTTATGGCCGGTGATGCCTAGACCAGGGGGTCCTGCCTGCCCTTTTCTGAGGAAAAAAAAAAAGGTCCAGAAAGTCAAAAGGCAACCGTTTTGGAAAGATAAAAAGAAAAAACTTCAAAAAAGTCGAGACTCCAGAGGGAAGGAGGAAATACATACAAAGGCCCTGTGTCTTTGGGTTCGATGGAGTGTACAGCGGACTTGAGTGCTAGGCTACCAGAGTGGCTTGGGACCACTTGCCCGGCTGGGCCAAAAAGAGATTTAAAGTTTAAACAACAAAAAAATAAAAAATTGTATTTTGAGGTAGGCGACCAGCCGGGCCGCCCGGGTCTAGTTGGATGAATTTGGGCGCTCCTGTAGTGGCCCGTACGTTTCCTAAAATCGCGTAGCGTTAACGGGCACGACTTTAGGAAGTACTGGTGGTTTAATGGAAACATCCGGTCAACCATTCAACTGCAATGACTTGCTGGTTCTGAGGGTCTGTAGCCTCTCTCGTCGAGGCTGTACTATAGGTAGGATAGATTTGTAATTTTGTTTGGCTGAGGGCTAACTGAGATACCTACCTGTAGGGAGAATCCGAGAGGGACATATCTGCAAAATTCGGGAAAATATAGTCCCATACTAACTAACAGTACCTACAGCTACCCCAACTGCGAGTCGCTGGCCCGGACTACCCCTAGGACAGACAAGCCCTACGGGCCTATGCTGATAGACGGTCCTATAGCCCATAGCCGGGTAAGGTAGAGGCCGAGAGGCCAAAACTGATACGGTACTGGTCGGTCCAGTCAGTCCGGTCTAGGTCGAGTCTAGGCTAAGGTATGTTATAGATAGGATGTAGACATCGGTTCAGGGCTTTTGGCAGTTGGTACTGAGTACATTGCTGCTATACAACGCGTGAACTGGAAGTGGTAATGGCTCAGCGTTGAGGGAGACAGACATAGCCAGACCTTCGGAGCGCCGGCCATAGCTGGGACCTGCGCTGTACTCTGTCAGCACGCGGGGCTGTGCAGAGGTCTGGGCTATTCGAGGTCTGCTGGAGGCGAGAGAAGTTGGTGCCCTGGTGGACCCTCCTCCGGAGTAGGGTTACAGGGCTGTGGCGCTGCGCTGCAGCCATAGCCGCAGCTTCTTCCTCAGAGGTCACCTTGTCAGGAGTGGTGGCGCTGCTGCAGACTTCCACCCGGGAAGTCTTCCGACACTTCGTCATCATCGGATACTGTGGTGCTGGTCTTCTTCTTCATCCTCTGAGTGGCGCTTGGCCTCAGAGGCCTGTTTCAGGGTGGCGCTTCCCTCTGGAGGCTGTACATGGGCGGCGCTTGATGTTTCGGGGACTAAGGGGTGGTGACAGCAGTTCATCAGGGTTGGGGAGAGAAGCGCTGCTCATCTCATTTCTGAGCAGCGCACCATAGTACTGGGGTTATTCTGACAATTCGAGACTCTGAGTTTAATAAACAGTGTTGATACTGTGTCCAGACTATCATCGTTTCATTGTTTCTTGGATKTGATCTACTCGGCTTTCCTTTATGACTGGTTGTGAGGATTGAGTGGAGTGAATTGCACGTTCAGTGAACCCAGTCATATCGCATGGTTCAGTCTTCCGCTGTGTTTCTCTCTCTCTATGCGGTGTGATACTCCTATCCTCTCCCCTTCCTTCTGTGTATGTATGGGCATACCTGGGAGTCTATTTGAGTGAGTGTTGGTCTTCAAACAACAGACAACCAGAATCATAACACAACAGCAGAACCATCCGGTCATGTGTTGATTTAAAAATCCAGATACAAATCGAGTGAAACATAGAGTCAATGGTTATTTGAACGTCTTTCTGATTCACAAACTTAACTTTTTATAATCTATGAAATATTTACTTGTATTTGTGTTCACCAAATAATGTTTTTAATTCACTTTTTATTTGGATTGCTGTTCATCCCCATTGATGAACAGGCAAAAAAAATAAAAAATAAATGAAAATCCATTCAGCCAAAAGAATCCACTTGTCTACAGTCTTCCCCCCAAATAGAATATGTGGTCATTATCGCTACATGTATTCGGTGCCACTGTCAGTCTAGATGCAGAGAGAATGACCATGCGTTCTATTCGGGGGGAAGATGGTAGGTTGAGATTGACAGTCCTGGTCAGTAGACGTATTCAGTCAACACGCCAATCCAAGCAACAGACCCATACCAGTGAACACATCCATCAAGTTATCAGAACCATCTAGGCGCCCAGTCAATTGAACGATCCGGTCAAAAAAACCATCCGGTCAACAAAACCATCCGGTCAACAGAGACATCCAGTCAACAAGGTCATCCAGGCAAACAATCTGGTCAACGGTCCTATTCTGTCGATGAATCCTCCAGTCAACAAGGTCATCAAGTCAATGCACCCAGTCATCAGAACCATCACGGCAACCAGTCAATGGATCCATCCAGTCAACAGAGCTATCCAGTCAGCAGAATAAACCGGTCAATGGTCCTATCCGGTCGACGAAATCGCGCAATCAACAAGCTGGTGCATCTGGTCAATGCAATCAGTAAATTGAACCGTCGAGTCAACGGAGCCACCCAGTCAGCATAGCAATTCCGTCTCCTGCCCTTTCCAGTCAATGAAATCCTCCAGTCAACGAGCATATGCTGTGGACGCGTCCATCGAGGAAGGCACCCACGCAGGCAAATGGACCTATCAAAAGTCAATGGAACCATCTAGGCAGCCAGTCAATGGGACCATCCGATCAACGGACCTAAAATCCTCGAGTCAACAGACCTATCCACGGAATGCACCAATCCAATCAACAGAAACATCGAGTCAACGGACCATCCAGTCCAGCAGTCATTGGAAGCATTCGGTCAACCCGTTGACCAAACCATCTGGTTGATGGCAGCATCTGGTCAATGGTCTCCTATCCAGTCAAAGGGAACCACTTGTCCATAGACTTATCCAATCAATGGACATATCGTAGTCAACGGAGCCATCGCAGTCAACAGAAGTATGCAGTTAATGGAAACATTCAGTCAACAATCCATCTACTCAACGGACCTGGTCAGTCAACAGACTCATATGGAGACTTGAACTGCTAGGTCAACAGAACTATTCAGTCAACAAACCCATTCAGGCAATGGAGCCGTCCCTCCAAACCATTCACTAGAACCGTCAGTGAAAAGTCAAAGTCAACAGAACCATTAAGTCAACAAACCCATCCAGCAGAAACATTCACTAGAACCATTCACTAGAACCATTCACTAGAACCATCAGAACCGTCAGTGAAAGTCAAAGTCAACAGAACCATTCAGTCAACAAACCCATGCAGGCAATGGAGCCGTCCAGCCAAACCATTCACAAGAACTGTCAGTGAAAAGTCATAGTCAACAGAACTGTTACCTGTTCCTCGAACATTTGCCCTTTGACTTTCCAGAGTCTCTCCACTTCCCTCTTGTGCTCCTCCAGTTTCATCCTCCTCTTCTGTGCGTTCAATTGCTCGATGCGATCATCCTGTATGCCGGCCGCAAGAGGGACCAAAAAAAAAAAAAAAAAACAGAGGTTAAAGGCTGAAGACAATTGGGAAGAAATTTGAAGAAAATGATGAAAATTAGAGAGTGATTTTTTTTTTTTTTTTTTTTAACAATTAAAAAGGGTTGAGAATGCAGGAATGCCCCTTATGTCGGCATCAAGGAAGAAGGAACAGCACCCTTATGACAGAAATATTATTATCAGAATTTACGGCAATATAATTAAAAAATTTAAATTGTATTATGCGAATTTAATATTTATGGCAATATGAATTAAATTGTATTATTGGAGTTTATGGCAATATTATCGAGGGCACTGCTGCCTCTCAATATGGCAATATTAATATATTATTATGAGAAATTCATGACAATATAATTAATTGTATTATGGGAACTTATGGCAAACCTCGGCTACCAGCCAGGCTGCCAGGGTCACGTTGGTTTCCCAGGCGGGCTCTGCTGTACAAGGACCAGGGAAGGTCCCCGCAAAAAAAAAAAAAAAAAAAAAAAAAAGAAAAAAGAAAAGAAAAAAAAAAAAAACGCAAAAAAAATTCAAAAAAACTAATTTATCCAGAAAAATAAACCGAACAACTTTTGCCTCAGTGTCTCATGGAATTTCTTTACCGAAAAACAAAAAACAAAAACCTTTTTTTAATAAAATTTTTATGTTTTCAATTTTTTTTTTTAATGCGCTCGGCCGGGCGAGTTGTCCTGGCCCGTGGGCCTGAAATCAGACTCGCTTTCTTTTTCACTTCACACACATGCAATACGGTAGGCAATCCACGCTGGCGCTGTGCGCCCACACAAAGCTCAGAGATACTCAAGTCGAGAACACAGTTTATTTACAAACTCGCTTCCAACTGGCTATGGCACCGGAGCGCTCACACACCCTTTGTACGACACTGTGTCCACACACTGTTCACACGCACTCATCTCTGGATCACCCTGGATATCCCACACACACAACCCTGTAACCAAACACACACACTCACGCACTGATCTCTATCTCTAAGCTACAGCGGCTATGGCCGCCTAGCCCCTACTGGCTATGAACACTCTATCTCCTTCGGCCCACTTCGACCTCGGGCTTCTGCAGACCACCTTGCACAAGACGCTAGGGCAGCGCTTCCGCATGGCTCACGCAGGAATGAATGAATGGCTGGACGCTGCCTCTTGATTTATACTTCTGTAAGTCGCTGGTCTGCCCTTTTCCACCGGGCCCATGGTGCACACAGTCCCTCAAAGTACTTGCTGAATGTACACAGTGAGACTGGGACTGGGTACTGCTGACTAAGCGAAGTTGGACTCACCACTTGCCCACTTGTCTCTGATCTGCTGTGTATAACGTGAGACTGGTAAACAGGTACCCCCACTTTTCACCCTTAGGGTAACCTTCACATCCACCTTTTGCAGTCACAGACGCGGATCCCAGGGCTCGATCCCCAGACCTTACCTTACCTTACCTAACCTGTGGACGGTATCAAGTCGACCCTGTGTGTCTTGAACCGGTGACCTGTGTGTTAGTAGTTGAAAGCTGTCTGTCGTAGGTCTGAGTAGTTGTCGGGTCTTGAACCTTAGACCTGTCGAAGTAGGGGTCGTACCTGCATAGGGGTCATAATTGTAGTTCTGAAAGGTCAAGGTCGTATCTGCTCTGTTTTATATGTTTTTAATTATTTCTTTTTTGTTTTGTTTTTACAATAAGTTAGTAAGAAGTGCATTCTACAGATTGGTGTGAAGTATTGTTAAAATGACCCTTTGTTTTTTTTATAAATGGGGGTGAAAAATGGGGGGTCGGTTAACCTTCTGTCGAAGAAACTTGAAAGGCCACTTCCGGACCTTCCGGAAGTTTGTGGACTTGGCCTTTCAGGACTGTAGCAGATACGACCTTGACCTTTCAGGACTGTAGCAGATACGACCTTGACCTTTCAGAACTACAACAATTATGATCCCTATGCGGGTACGACCCCTACTTCGACAGGTCTAAGGTTCAAGACCCGACAACTACTCAGACCTACGACAGACAGCTTTCAACTACTAACACACAGGTCACGGGTTCAAGGCACACAGGGTCGACTTGATACTGTACACAGGTAAGGTAAGGTAAAGTAAGGTAAGGTCTGGGGATCGAGCCCTGGGATCCGCATCTGTGACTGCAAAAGGTGAAAACCGTTTCAGGCCACTCTGGTAGCCTAATTGGCAAATATAATTAAATCCGCTATAAAAAAATTCAAGCACCTGCCTGCTCGACTGCTCCCCACAAGGGCCCTGGGCCCATTTCGTACTTTCCCAACACTGTGAATGGGGAGCGCGTGGACCGCTCACACGAGACCCTCTATTTCCTAGTATTATTGAAATAATAAAAAATTCTCAAGAGTTGATTTCTTTCCTTTGTTTCCATTACTTTTTAATATGAGATGGACTGGTTCCCCATCAGACCCAGCGACCCCCAACAAAACGGAGAAAGGTTTATTCACCTATACATATTTAAATATTTTAGCCCATGACTCCATGAGAAAATATTTGCACCTAACCAAACGGCAAACGCGTATGTCGAGCAGAGGCGCTGCAACCTGGTAGGCCTGGCTTTTCACGCTCAGGATGCTAGGATTGTTTTTTTTTTGTTATTTGTTGTCACTGCGAGGGTCGTTTTTTTTTTCTCCGTCTGGTGCGACAATTTAGGATCTGCTGTACTACTTGGTTGAACCCCCAAACCGTAAAACCTACTAATAATGCCTAAGCCTTTGTAAACCCTAAAACCCTTATATGCATTAATAAAAGGGTTTTACCATTTTAGGGTTTAGATTCCGTTTTATTGGTCGTCTAAACCCCAAACCCTAAACCCTAAGACTTTATTGGTGGGGGGGACCACCGATGTGCTCAAAGCCCCAAAGACACGTTCACAAAGGCGTGGAGTCGGAACTCTCTGGTTCAGCAATCTCATTCTCGGTTATCGACTTGAACCTGGCAGTGGAGTCGGGAAAGGTTCTGACAGTGACCAGGTGCAGGCCTGGCCAGAGACCCCCCCACACCTTAACTCTTCTCTATCTTGCTGTTTCTTTTTTGTGTCCGTGTCTAAACATGCTTGCTGGTGATAAGTAACCGGACTGTTGCCTCCCAGAATAGGAGGAAGGGGCTGTGGTGTGCGTGGAAAAATAAAAAAGAAAAAAAAGAAAGGATCTGAGATTGACTTCCGTAATTCATCTTGCTTGCCAGTGAGAAGGGCCCTGGACGAGCGGGCCCAAGAAGTCCCTAAGGAGTCATGTGTGTATAGGGAAGGCTGTTTTGCGAATTACAATGACCAGTCATCCCCAGGCTGGCTGTGGCGGTTTAATCAAGGGTTGTGTGTTGTTCACTACCTCAGCAAACTTCTCCAGCATTTGTCGACGGAATCGTTCTTCCTCATGTGCCTCCTGCCTTTTACGCAGTTCTTTCAGCCTTTGCTGCTCCTTATTGGCCTCGATCATCTCTTGTTTCATCCTCTCACGCTGCAGCAGCACACACGGTTGGTAAACAGAAGAACATAGCAACTTAGCAAGTAATATTAATAGTACTATTATAGTAGTATAATTAATTTTATTGGTGGCCTCAAGTTCCATTTTTGGAATGCAAGAAGAACATAGCAATTAATACTATGAAATAGTAGTATAATTAATTTATTGTTGTTAAACGATTAGTCTATTAGTATTAGTTATTATATCTACCTAATACTTAAAGGGAAAAGCGGTCCCCGTAAGACGGTGCCTTTGGGCCCAGCAAAAATAAGGCCGCACGTCGTTTGGACGGCACAGGCAGTGTTCCGTGAAATTGGCTGCACAAAGTTCTTTGCCCTGCGGCCGCGGGGTCGAGTCGGGGAGGGGCCAGGTGGCTTTTGTGGTACTTTGTCTTGCGGGCGGTTTTTCGCACTTTGCCGTCAGTTGCAGAAAGCGGGCAGTGTATATTTCCATGTTCCAACTAAAGATCCGTTCGATTTTGCTCATCCTGTCGATTGTAGAAAGCGGCCAGTGTATATTTCCATGTTATAGCGAACGATCCATTCGATTTTGCTCATCAA